GAAAGGAAAGTGATAAGTGGGGAAATTGGGGATAAGAATGGGAGTGAAATGGGAATAAAAATAAATAAAGTGGGAGTAGAACGGGGATAAAGTGGGGATAAAGTGGGAATGAGAACGGGAAATAAATGGGATTGAAGTTGGAATTAAATGGGAATAAAAATAGATGAGGTGGGAATAGAATGGGAATAAAGTGGGAGTAAAGTGGGAATAAAATGGGAGAAAGAATGGGAATAAAATGGGAATAAGAACAGGAAATAAATGGGAATAAAGTTGGAATTAAATGGGAATAAAAATAGATAAAGTGGGAATAGAACGGGGATAAAGTGGGGATAAAGTGGGAATAAAGTGGGAATGAGAACGGGAAATAAATGGGAATAAAGTTGGAGTTAAATGGGAATAAAAATAGATAAAGTGGGAATAGAATGGGAATAAAATGAGAGTAAGAATGGGAATAAAATGGGAGTAAGAATGGGAGTGAAATGGGAATAAAAATAAATAAAGTGGGAATAGAACGGGGATAAAGTGGGGATAAAGTGGGAATAAAATGGGAATGAGAACAGGAAATAAATGGGAATGAAGTTGGAATTAAATGGGAATAAAAATAGATAAAGTGGGAATAGAATGGGAATAAAATGGGAGAAAGAATGGGAATAAAAATAAATAAAATGGGAATAGAACGGGAAATAAATGGGGATTAAGTGGGAATAAAGTGGGAATAAAGTGGGAATAAGAACAGGAAATAAATGGGAATAAAGTTGGAATTAAATGGGAATAAAAATGAATAAAATGGGAATAGAATAGGGATAAAGTGGGGATAAAGTGGGAATAAAATGGGAATGAGAACGGGAAATAAATGGGGATAAAGTTGGAATTAAATGGGAATAAAAATAGATAAAGTGGGAATAGAATGGGAATAAAGTGGGAGAAAGAATGGGAATAAAATGGGAATAAAAATAAATAAAATGGGAGTAGAATGGGGATAAAGTGGGAATAAAGTGGGAATAAAGTGGGAATGAGAACGGGAAATAAATGGGAATAAAGTGGGAGAAAGAATGGGAATAAAATGGGAATAAGAACAGGAAATAAATGGGAATAAAGTTGGAATTAAATGGGAATAAAAATAGATAAAGTGGGAATAGAATGGGAATAAAATGAGTAAGAATGGGAATAAAATAGGAGTAAGAATTGGAATAAAATGGGAGAAAGAATGGGAATAAAATGGGAATAAAAATAAATAAAATGGGAGTAGAATGGGGATAAAATGGGGATAAAGTGGGAATAAAATGGGAATAAGAATGGGAAATAAATGGGAATAAAGTTGGAGTTAAATGGGAATAAAAATAGATGAAGTGGGAATAGAATGGGAATAAAGTGGGAGAAAGAATGGGGATAAAATGGGAATAAGAACAGGAAATAAATGGGAATAAAGTTGGAATTAAATGGGAATAAAAATAGATAAAGTGGGAATAGAATGGGAATAAAGTGGGAGAAAGAATGGGAATAAAATGGGAATAAAAATAAATAAAATGGGAGTAGAACGGGGATAAAATGGGGATAAAGTGGGAATAAAGTGGGAATGAGAACGGGAAATAAATGGGAATAAAGTTGGAATTAAATGGGAATAAAAATAGATAAAGTGGGAATAGAATGGGAATAAAATGGGAGAAAGAATGGGAATAAAAATAAATAAAATGGGAATAGAACGGGAAATAAATGGGGATAAAGTGGGAATAAAGTGGGAATAAAGTGGGAATAAGAACAGGAAATAAATGGGAATAAAGTTGGAATAAAATGGGAATAAAAATAAATAAAATGGGAGTAGAATGGGGATAAAGTGGGGATAAAGTGGGAATAAAACGGGAGAAAGAATGGGAATAAAATGGGAATAAAAATAAATAAAATGGGAGTAGAATGGGAATAAAATGGGGATAAAATGGGAGAAAGAATGGGAAATAAAAAGGAATAAAATTGGAATTAATTGGGGTTTAAAATGGGGAAATTGGAAATAAAAATGGGAATAGAAACGAGGATAAAAGCAGATTGAAAG